GGAATAGTTGAGTTAAGAATAAATATATGACTGAAAGTAAAGATTGGTAAGGCTTAGTTGAATAGTCAAAACCCAGAACCAGAATAACTAATTTCCATCGAAATATTTAGATAATGTATGAAAATGTATGAAAAATAACCTACTGTTTACATTAATGAAGGATTGGGCTTCTGCATGATACAGATATAGTAGAAGGGAGGACATGAACACATGGTGGGCTAAGCTTGGTGGATAACTAGATTGACGGAGTCCAGTTATGATAAAAAGTAAATCACTGCATACCTCATCAAAAAGTTTAGATATAGGTAATATCTACAGCACTTAGGGATAGGCCAAAGAGTCTCCTTGACTCGTTAGCTTGCAATGAGGATACCCTGCTCTCAGGATTTCCGCTAGACGACGGACGAAGGCTTAGTGTGTTTTCGCCGGAATCTTATAACTTAAATATGTTTTCTATATATTCCCACCAAACTGATCTTTTTGTTTAAAACGCAGATAAAGATGGTGCAGTAGTCATCATGGACAGGCTAAGTTATGTAGCAAAAATGATAATTCATTTAAATGACTAAGAAAAATACAAACTTTTAGAAAAAGTATCCCAAAAAGAGTCTTAAGGCCAAACTTAAAGAATCGCTTTACCCCTTTGCAAACAGGGGAGTAATTAAGAAGTGGAAAATGCATTCATTTTTTCAAAAAGATGCTATGGCATCTTCAACTTGCGGCCTTCCAAAGTTACACAAGGAAGGGGTTCTTTTAAGATTGATTGTTAATAATGAAGAAAATGTGAAGCATAGGATTTTAAGATTTTTACGTAGACAATCAAAGTAAGTGGCAGAGTATTTGAAATATTCTGTTAGGAATTCACATGAATTTGTTAGATTTGAGATCAATAGAGTATTAGAGAGAACTTCTTGGTGAGTTTCGATGTGGAGTTCAGAACGCTATTGAAGCCCTAGCACTCAGTCTTGATGAATATCCAGATAAGGTTTCCACCAGAGCTAAAATCGTCGCCGATATACCTTAGGCTGCTTAGGCCATCTTGCACATAGAGTGAGCAAATTTAAACAAATCTATTCCACTTTAATATTAAGGTTTATGAACAGCTGCAAGGTCTAGCAATAGGATCTTGCTTGGCTTCTATTTTGGCAAGCATGGAAGTAAGCTTCATAGAAGAGATGAGATTATGTGATGTATTCACCCTATTTCGTCTAAGGTGATGAAGGACTGGTAGTAGAATTTTCCCACAATGATA